CCTGACCTGTTGCTCACCCCAGGCTGTCATCACCACGTCCTTTCAGACTGAATTCCCATTCCTACTGAGCACACTGGGGCTCCAGATCTCAGTGAGGACAGTCAGGGTCACCCCAGCTCTGCAGTGGCACCGTGGGCTCTCTGCCTCCTCATCTCACACAAGGACCCTGCTGTTGTTCCAGCTCCTCAGATGGCAGGAAAGTGACTGAGACAGAACCTGGGGACATGTTGACCATGTCCACACTTCTGAATTGTCCCCTAATGAGTTCTTCAGTCTTTTCTGCTACAAGGAGATTTTTGATTCTGGTTTCTTTACATTAGACTTTCAAAGCTAACTTTGAGGAGCACCTATTGTGTGCTGACCATATTCTTTGCACTCCATGTGCATGATCCTGTTCTGCTTACACTAATTTCAATGGCAATGACACTAAGTCGGGAAGTGGTAACTAACTTGCCAAAGTCACATAACTAGCAGATGATAGAAGTGGTCCAGCCAGCTGTGGGCATTCCAGCCAAGACAGTGGCCTCCAGTCCTATTAGGATCCAAGGAAAAGTTGATCATTTGAAGTTGTGGCCATGAGAAGGGATTGAATGGGCACAAGGGAGAGATGAGGAACAAGGTTCTGGCATCTGGGCTGGGACCTGTGTGTAGCAAGGTAATAGCTAATACAGATGAAGGGAATATGGCACATGAGTGTGGACTCCCATGTTAGTGTTCATGGTTTCACTGGGAGGAGACCCTGATTGTGGACACTTGCTCTTGCTCTGACCCAACCAGGTTATTGATATTTGGATCAGTTTCTTAAGAATCTCATAACTGTAATTTCACTTGAGGTCTTTCTTTGGAATGGCATCATTGCCTACACTCTACATGGTACTCTGTGGGTAAGCAGTGCCCACAGCCACTTCTCTTCCTTCTGTATTTATTCTTTACTTTATGTCATGTGGATAGCAATGGAACAGGGCCACAAGATCACACTCTGATCAGCAGAGAGCAGAAAATTAACTCTACGCATCCATCCTGAAACTTGTCAGCATTCTTCAAAATTCTCCTACATTTTTTCCTTGCAGAGCACTAAACTCGTTATGGAGAACTATCAGGGCATAGGGCGAGGTATGAATGGTCATCATGATTGTCCACTTGGCTGAACTGCAGGACAATATGCAGGTTAATAGAGCTTGCCTCTGGTTGTGTCTGAATTTTCAGAGATTGCTTGGGGAAGGCTTGGACTTGAGTGGATAACTTAGTGAATAGTAACATTCTGAAAGGTCTATTAGGAAGTGGGGTATTCTTAGAGACATTGGGTCACTCTGAGCATGTCATAGACTGGTTCATTGTTGCCAGAGTTTTCCCGCCTTGCCCACAGTCAGGGCAAATCTTTGTCACCCGCCAGTCCCACAGCTGCTCAGATCCAACCAAGTAAACACAGAGACTTATATTGCTTACAAACTGTATGGCCGTGGCAGGCTTCTTGCTAACTGTTCTTTTATCTTAAATTAACCCATTTTTATAAATCTATACCTTGCCACGTGGCTGGTGGCTTACCAGCGTCTTCACATGCTGCTGGTCATGGCGGCAGCGGCTGGCAGTGTCTCCCTGCCTCAGCCTTCCGCTTCCCAGAATTCTCCTCTCTCCTTGTCCCACCTACTTCCTGCCTGGCCACTGGCCAATCAATGTTTTATTTATTGACCAATCAGAGCAATTTGACATACAGACCATCCCACAGCAGTTCATCTTGGTTGTGTCTCCTTCCTCTCACTCCTTGTCGCTTCCTGGCTGCCATGTGGTAAACTGCTTTCCTTTGCCATGCCTGCCCATTGAGCTTGACCTCAGCACACACTGCAACTCCACTGATCTGACTGTGTCATTTCCATGTGTTCACAGTAGTCCTTGATTATTCATCACAGATATGGGTTCATAGAGCCCTTGTCACATCAAGGTGAAGAATTTTCTATCACCAAAAAATAACACCCTGGTATAAAGCCCTCAGGATCCTGAACCTTCCCTATTCCCAAGGCAACTGCCCAACACTCCACTTCATCCATCATTTTTCATTTCATAGTTTATTTTCATAACAGAAATCACAGATGTTATAACCCATTACAATTGGCTCTGTTTTGACTAAGCACATGCCATTGACATCCATCTGCAATGGTGTGGGCACCATTAATTCTTCCTTTTCTGTGGTTCAGGAATCACAGCTCAACATGAGGACCCTCTTAGTCTTGCCCATATCCCAGGACACGCTCAGAGTGTCTGATCTGAATGCAGTATCCCTGCAGGGGCAGCAGCTGCAGGCACAGTCCTGTTGTCTATCATTAGTGTTTGGCAGGGATAGACCTGGTCACAGTTCCTCCTCTGCACTGTCCTTCTTTTACTCTGTCCATCTGTCATGTCCCTTTCAGGGTCATCTACTCATCTCTGAGCCTTTCCTGGTCTCCTTCTACAGACTTTTCTTTTGTTGAGAGCAACTTCAAAACCTGAGACACATGATTACATCAAATAAATTCATTTTAAGTTCTTTTTATATGAACCTCTTTTTAAAAAATATTCTGCTACCTACTAGGATATTTTACCACCCATAAAGTAACACTGTATCTATGAGATGTGACAACAGGCCATCTCCATTCTCCCTCCACACTCACCATGGCTTGTTTGTTTCCTTTGTAAGGCAAGGTCTGTTCCTAGTTTGGCAGAACTGTGGAGGTGAGGTGGCCCTGGACTGGAAGGGTGCAGGGATCTATCTGGACACTGGGCACTGGACACCTAAAGTGGTCATTGATTCAAAGGGCTGTGGTGCAGTGGTTCCCAGAGGCCTGAGAGCCTGGAGGAGTGCAAGGACAAAGGGACAGGCTCTTCAATAATTGATGTCCCAAAGGGCCAGACTGACAGTCAGGAAAGAGTACAGGGTTCAAGGTCAAGGGTGTGGTGAGCTCTGGTGATGGCTCTTGAGTTAGTTAAGGGACAGATGCTGAGCAGCTGGCACAGAGTTCACTAACCCAGCACATGGGCTCAACAGTAGAGAGGACTCAATGAACTTGGACACTAGGAGCAAGTTGCTAGGCAGCTCAGGACGCAGGTCACTTTCTTTCCTAAGTTTTTCCAGGACTCTGTTCTGTCCCTGCTCTGCACCCCAGGGAAATGGTTCTGTCCACATCCAGCTTTCCCTTAGGCAGACATTCCAGTCCAGGAAGGACAGAAGGGGCTGTGGAACACAAGAAAGTTCCTCTAGAGGACAAGACCTAGGCTATGCACAGGTCATCTGTCAGTCTCTATTGGTGAGAACTTGGGAGGAAGGCTCTTGAGCTGCAAGGGAGGCGGGGACACCACTCGGTGTTACAGCCTCAGGGGAGCATCTGCGGCCAGAAGGGGAGGGCAGCAAAGAGAAGGAAATGCTTCTTGTAAAATTTCAAATTTTCTTGTTAAACCACATGAAAGAAAATAGTTTTTAAAAGAGGAGATGATAAAAATCAGGAGGAAATGATCATCTTTCTATAGTCAACAATCTAGAAAACACAGGATATCATTTGCAGAAAACACACAAAGCATGACTAAGCCAGTGTTTAGAAATTTATTCTTCAAACGCTATGGACCAAGTGTAGTCTTTCACATGCATCACAGCAGATTTTAAACGTCAATAGGAATTAAACCATGTGATTTCCCCAGAATCTGGTAGCAGAGAGCAGAACTGACCAGCCAACCCTATCTCATCTATTTCCTTGTAGGATACATGGCTGGCACTAGGACCAAGAACTTGTAAATACCTTGCAGATGATATTCCCAGGGTCTGTTCCTTTCAACTCTCTGAGTATTTCCCCGAAAGACCCATCACTCCACGTGACCCAAATCATGAAAACAGAAATGGTGCTCTTTCCAGAGGCTAATTGCAGAATTTGGAAATACTTGGAAAAACAGAGAAGTAGGCAGATCTAGGAAGGAGAATAAGGCCTCTATGCAACCAATCAGAAAGCAGTATGAATGTTGGCAGCTCAGAGGACAGTGAGGATGGTGAGCCTCAGCTAGGAGCAGTGTGGTGGGCATGACTGAGGAGCAGCCATGCTGTGACTAAGTTGGATCATGCCTTGGATGTGCTCTGCAGCTTGGGAGCTTGGTCCTCATGTGGGATATTGGGAAGTTGTTGGAGCTAAGAAGTGGAGTCTATTCGGAGGTCCCAGGCCTGTCCCATCTGTTTTCTGGCTTCCTTTCTCTTAATGTGGCCTCCCCATCTAGCAGGCACTTCCACCATGGTGACATTGCTGTAGAGGGGATACAGACAGGGGCTATCAGTAGGTGTCTAGAGCATCCCCCATGCCCAATCCTCTGAGCTGCACTGAAGAAGAGGTCACTGAGTCAGGCTGTCAATGACCTGGATGAGCTCCTGCAACCTCTGCTCCAGGTGCTGAGCCTTCTGCCTTAGCTCTGCAGCGGACTCTGTCTTCGCACCCTCCTGCAAATGCTTTGACTCTTGTATAAGGCTGACCACATCCAGCACAAGGTAGAGACCTGCACTGACTGCACCTGTGATCCGTTCTCCTTTGGACATTGCCAGAGTAGTGCCTCTAAAGGGATTCTCTTCCTGTTTAGTGTTTCCAGCTGACACCCCTTCTGTGGTCATGTGACAGTTCGTATTAGTTTCTTGGGGAGAGTCAGCTTTGGTCAGTTTGATGGCATCAATGTACTTCTTCACGTCTTTCATTTTGTGGAAGGAATTCTTATATATGGAAATAAGCTTGTCTATGTTCTTCTCCAAAATTTTCTTAATGGTCTTCCCTGTGTCTTTGCTGGTTGGCACCTGCTGGCTGGCTTCAGCTTCCGCAAACTCTGTGCTGATCTTTTCCACAAGGCTTGTAGAATCACTAGTTACTCTTGCTGCCACCGCCAGTCCCAAGCCTGTGGCTGAAAGTCCCAGACTCACTCCTGGTGCCACGGGTGCCAGAGCGAGACCAAGGATGGTCAGGACTCCGGACACAGCATTGGCAGATTTGGCCACCACTTGTGTGATTGTGCAGCCTTTATGCACCTTGTCAATCTGGTCTGCAAGGGCGTGCAACTTCCTGATCTGCTGCTCAAGCTCCGGTTTCATCTGAAGATAAACGCTTAAAAGTCTTCTGTTCTGTTCATCGTTCTTTTTCCTGTGACAGGAGAGAACAACTGAGTGAGAAAGACAGCTTGTAGTTTAGATCTGTCCTGTGGAAAGCACAGAGCATCTGCTCTGAATGAAATGGCAGAGAGTGTTACAGTTGTACAGGATCTTTCTTATAGCTACAAGAACACTTGACACACCACAATGTCTTTAATTGTTTAAAAGACGGTGGGTTAAAACCCATCCTAATGTGTCTTTTTAAATTTTTCTTTTATGTTGTATGAGTATTTTGCCTGTGTGCACGTGTGTGAGTGTGTGTGTGTCTGTGTGTTTACCATGTGCATGCCTGTTGCCAGTGGAGGGTAAAGGAAGGCATCACATTCCTAAGACTGGCTTTAGATTCTGTTGTAATCCATCATGAGGGTCCTGGGTATTGAACATGGTTCCTCTGGAAGATCAACCAGAGTTAACCACTGAGACATCTCTAGTCCCTTAACATACCTCTCTATTGCTAGATATTTAATAAAGATGCCTTACCCTCCAGGTCAATGTTATCACAACTAAAATACTTCTCTGTAGGAACTCTAAACAAACACAGAAAAGTGGATTTAGAGGAAAATATAATAACACTTTGTTTTAGGAAAAGTTACTATTCCCTGAAGAGTTCACTGTCCTAAAGAAAAACCTTCTATGACCTCAGTTACTGAGACATGACCTATGTCCTGCTGGTTGGAGATGTCCATGTTTGTTGGAGGACTTGGGTTTTGAGAGACTGCAAAGTGCACATTCCTAAGAGGGAAACCCTTTATGGGAATTCTTTTTTCACTGCAGTGCTGTGTACATGTGTGATCTGGTGGGGCAGCTCACAGCTGAGATCCATCCACTCAAAACACAGCACAGAAGGTTCTTTTCCAGCTGTGAGCAGAAGACAAAGAAACCAGAGTGGATTCCTCATTGACATGTGTGTCCCATCCCCAAGAAATCTCTCTGTGCCTTTGCACCTGTTTTTGTAGCAGGTAAAACTGAGCGGAGAGTTCAGAACACATAGGTTCCCTAGACTCCCCAGCAGGATTGGTCAGCCTGAAAAAGACAATGTGTGGTGGGATTTTGCTGTCATTTCTGACCTGCAGAGGAACCAGACACTAAAAGCATGGACTCCAGGTGGGAGGCAGACCCTGGTTCCCTCTGGGTCTGTGTGTGTCATTAAGGACCAACACTCTTCTGGACACTGAGGCTTACGTTGACAAACATTTTCCTAGAGTAAATGTACTTATTTCTAAACAGCTTCCAGAGTGTGGATCTGTCTTGGCTTTCCATGCTTTTCCTGTGTATGGTGGGTGTGCCCTGTCCAGGCTTGTCAAGAATCCTGCCAGGTTGTGAGACTGCCCTACCTTCGGTACTCAGTACTCAATCAGGTTCCTGTGTCTAACTTCCGCAGTCTTAGGCCTTGACTCCCCTCAGGAGGATTCCTGAGGTCAGCTGCCCAGTGCCCCTACTCTCTGCTGTCTACTGCCCCTCACTCAGCTTGTCCTCTAGAGTCCCCAGCTGAATGTATATCCAGAACTGTTCTGTCTCTTTCCTTAGAGCAACTGTCCTGAACAACATCTTCCTGACTGTTAACTTATATCAGAATAATTGTTCCTTCCCATGGGAGCTTTCTTGGTGTGTGACACTCCATGTGAACTCTCACAAGACTGCACGTGCCCTGAGGACAACAGTAGAATCTCCCTGAAATCCCTTGAAGAGGACTGTGGATGTGGCTAAGTTGGTAGAGTGTTTGCCATGCAAACACATGGAGCTCAATTCAGTCTTCCAGAGTCCACACAGAGAACCCAGGTGCTTGACATGGCCTTAATTCCTGCTTGGGGATGCAGAGTCATGGGGATCCTTGGTATTCTCTGGCCAGCTGGTCTAGACAAATTGCTGATGTCCAAGTAAATAAAGGGAATTGTTTTTCGAAGGGCTGGAGAGATGGCTCCTCCATTCAGACCGTGTCTCTTCCAGAAAATGTGAGTTTGGTTCCCAGCCCCCACGATTTGTGGCTCAGTGCTCAAGGGAGTCTGATGTCCTCTTTTGACCTTTATTGATAATACTGTGGATTAGGGACCTCACTCAGGCCCTTAATTAATTTCGATACTTTGTTCCCTTAAAGTCTCAATGTCTAAATACAGTCACTTGGGCATAGGACTTTCCCAAACTAGTTTAGGGACACAACTCAGTCCTTACCGCTAGTGACACCATTAAAATATCTCATGTGGGAGTTGGGGATTTATTTATTTATTTGTTTGAGACAGGGTTTCTCTGTGTAGCTTTGTGCCTTTCCTGGAACTCACTTGGTAGCCCAGGCTGGCCTCGAACTCACAGAGATTTGCCTGGCTCTGCCTCCCGAGAGCTGGGATTAAAGGTGTGCACCACCACCACCCAGCTAAGTTGGGGATTTAGCTCAGTGGTAGACAGCTTGCCTATCAACTGCAGGCCATGGGTTTGGACCTAAGCTCTGTAAAATAAATCTCGTGGCAGGTGCTCAGAAACACATCTGTACAGCTGGTCTCTGATGCCATTCAAGCTGTTATGCACTGTCCCCCAATCTTGTTCATTTCTTTTTCCCAACTAGAGAGAAAAAGCTTCATTGAATCTATGGATGCATACCTCCCTGTCTTCTCCTGCAGGCCCTTCTGGAGTTGTCTTCATCAACTTTTAATGAACACCTGCTTTGTTCTGGGCACTTCCTTTGTGCTGGCCTGTGTCTGGAGGCCTTCCGAAAATTTTCCCTTAAAGCCCTAGATGCAGCCTGAGGATGTGACTAAGTTGGTAATGTGTTTGCCATGCAAAGTAGACATGAGTTCTGTCTTGCAATGGTCACATAGAAAAGCCAGGTGTAACATTTTTTTTTTTAAATCATACTACAATTAATCTGATACCCAAACCACACCAAGATGCAACCAAGAAAGAAAAACAGACCAATCTCTCTCATGAACATTGTTGCAAAAACACTCAATAAAATACTGGCAAACCAAATCAAGAACATCTCAAAACAAAATCATCCACCATGATCTACTATGCTCCCTCCCAGTGATACAGGGATGGCTCCACATATGAAAGCCTGTCAATGTGTTCTACCATATAAACAAAATGAAAAAAAAAAACCATATGATCATCTCATTAGATGCTGACAAAGCCTTTGATAAAATCCAACACCCCTTCATGATAAAGGTCTTGGAGGGATCAGGGATACAAGGAACATACCTATATGTAATATACGTCATACACAGCAAGCCGACAATCAACATCAAAATAATTGGAGAGGAAGTGAACGAAGCTGCTACTTTCACAACCTGGAGTTTCAGGTCCTTCATGCTCCTTTTGCCCCAGACGTACTCAACCACAGACTCAATGAAGCCTCTTCTCTCTAGATGGGAAGGAAAAGGAATATGGTTAGAGGGCTGTGCATTGGCGCTTAAATGGCTTTGGGAACTAGCTTTGTAAATGTGGTTCTGAGCATCTGTCCCTTGAGGTAAATTTTGATGTCACTAGTGGAAGGAGCTGAGTTGTGTCCATTAACTCATTTGTAAAAGCTCTAACCACTAGTGACTGTATTTTTTAGATAGACCTGCTAAGGAACCAAGTGAGGTTGTGAGTGAGGTCCCTAATCCATAGCATTAGGGTCCTTATAGCAGCCAGAAAAATCTCCCTCCCACCCTTTTATGGTGCTATTTTATTTGTGCTGAAATGTGATTTTATTTGTATGTTAATAAATAAAGTTGCCTGGGATTCAGAGCTAATAGCAAGCTGTAGCAGAAGTCTGGCAGTATTAGCACACACCCTTAATCCCGACACATGACAGGCAGATCTCTGTGTGTTCATGGATACAACCAGCATGGAGACACAAGCCTTTAATCTCAATACCAACCATAGAAGACCTGGAGGTCTGTATAGACAGGCAGTGATGAGGAGGTCATCTGGTTGGGTTTACAACCAATGAGAAAGCAGAACAGAAAGTCAATAAAAAGACAGACACACGGGAAGTAGGTCTCTTCCTGAGGGGAAGGATGGCAGCGGCAGTGAAGGGTAAGAAAGGATTTTTAGTATCAGCTCTTAGCTACTGCTCTGACCTCTGGAGCTTTTAACTCTGCATTTGGCTCTGTGTTTCTTATTTAATAAGACCGTTACATCTACACCCTTTCCCTACTTCTCTATCTCCCCCCTCCTTTCTCTCTTTTCCTGCCTCTCTTCTTCCCTCCAGACACATAAGAGAGTCCATGGGCCAGCACAGGGTACAGGCTCCTTCTGTCCACCAGGAAGACAGAGCTCTCCAGTGCCAAATATCACACTTGGATTGTGGATATCGGATTCTAGGGCAGTGAGAAATGACACCTTTTCTTTTTAAGTCTCCTACCCAGTGTCACTTGGAGATGTCATCCTGAGAAGATCAATATACCAGGGAGGTGTCATGGTGTTTTGCAGAGATGTGTATC